TTGTTCATGATTTTTATTCCACGCGTCTCCCTTCCAGTTTGGAAAGCATACACAATACATATACATGACAAACCTCGAACAGATGAGGTAAAAACTGCCAGGAGAAAGCTTCGATTAACCCCACAGAAAAAACAGCTCACATGAGTTCTTTCCCACCCACTCCCGGAAAAGTCTTTGAAGGTTAGAGAGAGGGAGAGAGAGAGAGAGAGAGAGAGAGTGAGTGGGGGAAAGAGAAGAAGCTCTGGTCTCAAGGCGGGCACCATTCAGGACCTCCAGTTCAACTCGCACCCAATTAGCGAATACCATCCCATCTCGGAGGGCGTCGTTTAGTGGCGTGAGGTTCGTGAGAAGAGCAGAGTCGATCGTTGTGGAGGGAGGATAGAGTAGATAGAGACCGATCATTCACTTCTGCTCTTGTCAGTACGCAGCCCCCGAATCAATATTGATGTAAACATGGCTGGAGTGATGGGGGAGTGTAACCCAAGAACCAAACACCCAAAAACGGCTCTTGCCCTTCCCCATATTCTCCCCTCTCTCCCTATCAGTCGTCGACCTTGAAACGAGCCTCTATTATGATCATTTATTAGTCCCCTCTTTTTCCAACATAATTGCACTCTCTCACCATAATACCCTATCAAGAATAGTGCCCTAGTTTATGGTCCTGACAAAGTTAACAAACTTGTCCTCCAAACTTGACCTCTCGATGTCCAACTCCCTTCTCCTACAGTATTTGACCTAACCTAACCTCCGAGGCTTCCAAATTCCGCCTTGTCTCTCGTCCATCATTTACACCTACTCACGTACTTAGGCCACACTTATGCTCTCACCTGGCTCCGCTCCGCGATCATAGCCAAATCAAAACCGTGCCAGAATTAGAAAACTGCTCCTGCACTCGGCTCTTGCGTTCTTTCGTGTCTCGTCTCGTCTCGTGGCTCGTCCTGTCCTCTCAATGGCCTTCGGATGCGCTCTTTCAAAATCGACGCGCTAACATGATGATTTTGCGTTCTCGGATGCCAAAGCAGACCCGGCCCCCGGACTCCTTGTGCTCAAGTGTGAGAGAGTTTGAAAATGCGCCATCGCTTTCGATTTCTCGCACTACGATCCATTATTGCTCCTCCTCACATCGTCGCACCAATTCCCGTGGTTCGCACGTCAGATATTGAGTGACGAACCGCGTCCCGTCTCGCCTTCGTCTAATCTTAATCGCCCTACCCTGGCCATGTAATTGTTCTGCTCGAGGCAAAGACCGACTTAAATGGAGTTTTATTTTTCTATTCGGATTGTTGTAATCTGTTTTAAAGGCGTCCAGACCATGCTACTTCCTTACGACCATGTAATGCTTGTAATTGCTCATGCTCAACGCACGTGTAGTGGCCAGGGGTGGCAAAGATGTCGTCGCAACGCAGCAGGGACTCGTAGGAAATCTGCCCGAGACATGGGCACATATACTCGCTATGGTTGTTTTCTCAATGATTCTTCTCCACAAGTGTTTTATGTGATGCTTTTACACCATGGATTGACTAACCCCAAATAGAGTGTAGCCTATTTTCGGAATGATGTGATTTAAAAAAATATATGAGCAGAAGCTACAACTCATCCATTTTATACTGGTTACTGTACCGCTTTTTCTTCTCAGGTTTTATCCTCTTCTTAGTTTACAGCTTTCGAAGACAAAGATTTGTTAATTCTAATCTGTTGTTTTTTATTATTAGTTATTTTTCAATCATTCGAGCAGAAACCACTTAGTTGTACGGAGTAATTACAGCTTGGGTAACTATGACTGTAAATTATCTTTCCAGAAAGGAGTTTATAAAAACCCTTCACTGATAATTAGTTTAAAACAGATGAAAAAAGGTCCAATCTAATGGAGGTGTCACTATTAGAGAATAAAAGAACATATTGATAAAAAGTAAAACATCAAAATGATTCGTCTATTCAGTTGTCCGCTTGACTATGATGATATTCACAATAGTTTTTGAGAATTCTTCAATATTTAGACAAATTTTTATGATGCTAAACATGTTTTATCTCATAGATGAGATTCTTCAAAATTTTGAACTCAAATCAAGAACAATTTCAATTTCTGGGTGTATGTATACTCAAAGTCTGATAATGACTTCTTCCATTTCTTGTACATTTTATAAGACATAAAATGTCTTGTGTTGTTCTGGATCATCTCATGATTTTAGTTTCGCTAATTCAGGTATTATATATTTTATTATTTTATGATGGTCTTTGAAGGATATTTTGATCAAATGTCTTGAATAATTCAGATCTTTTTACTTTAGAAAAATAATCGATTAGATATTGGGGCTGCAAAATGAGAAAAGTTTCTCTAGTTAATAATTTTTGAATGAACTTTTTCCTTTTGGTTAAATTTTCCAAAGAAATACAAAAATAAGTTGAGTAGGAGTACGTTATAACAGGCGATAGTGGTCTTTATCTTAAGTTAACACCTAGTGTGTGAATGAAATGAAGCACATACGTTGAATCACTCATTCGATTTTCTACGCATGTTGTGAGTTGAACGTACATGCGTTGTTGTATCTTCAGGACCTCATCGTATCAGGGACATGGTTATCTTGCAGTCATAAAATTTATTTTCATGATAATTATTATATAGATTTATGATTTTTTGAAAAAATTATTAATTCTTGGTTGAATTTTTACATAGATTTTATATTCTTTAATATTTTTAAAAGAAATATATCTTGCAGTTGGAAGGTTCACTTCCCAAGATTACATATCTGATAAGTTTCAAAACAACTCATGGTCTTACATAGAAAAATATCCTTTTTATATTTAGACGATATTGGGTAAATTTGTTATCACAAATTTCAATATTTCCAGATTTGTGTTTATATTGTCATTAGAAAAAAATTATGCACATCCAGTTTTTAATGTTTTTGTTACATGGTACTCATATTGATAGAGTTCCCTATGTAAAAGGTATGCTGCTAGATTCATTATATAATTGGAACTGGTATGTGTGTTAGATGAAAGAATACTGAAGTATTATGAAAGTGAGAAATGATCTGTCAAGTTTTGGTATCCATTATGATAAAACTCGGTGGGATGCCTACCACATTTTAAGTCTACACAGGACTTAATATCTTTTCACAATACACAACTTCTACAAAAATATTCATCGTCAACGTCAGGTGAATCCAAGTGAAATTTTTAGACACTTATTATTTCAATGATAGAAAGTTGTGGTTCAAATGTTGAGAAATTTCAAGGCTTGCATCGAATGAGATGTGTTTGGTTAAAATTAAAATTTCCCACCTAATACCCGTTGAACGTCAAAAGCGTGAATCAAAGCTTAAGTTTGGCATGCTATCAGAAAAATTCGACATTTGTCTCCAATAAAAGTGATTTCTGAGCTTTGTTGGGTGTCAATAACCGCTGTATTGAAGAAAGATTACTGTTGAAGATGATTTTTGCGCACCTGGGGGTTCTTCCAACTGCGGAGGTGAGAGTTGACACAAGTTCGGAATTTTCCCTCGTAGAATGCATGTACTTTGATGACTCCTGGATTAAATCGTCAGAGTCTTACCTGTAAGCTACGTATCAGGATTCAAGAGATATCGTGTCAAATGAGTCGGAATCTCATGCCGGACACAAGTCCTGGCAGAAAATTGATCGAGAACACAAAGCGCCGACTTAAGATTGACGAGGATCTCATGTAGGTTGCATCACGTAGAGGAAGAAATCATGACAAGATTGAAAAGAAGTCCTTCGTGTGTGCGATGCGAGGCTCTCACTGAAATTCATACGAGATGTGAGTAGAAAACACCAGTATCTCCAATGGATGGAGCATTCATTGTCGCTTTTGGGTTTTCCAGATGTCTCAAGCCATTTAAAGTTGTGCGATGACTCTTAGCACAAAGAAGAGCATATCAGGAGAATCGATTTAGTGTCTCCGAGTTTTTCTACACTGCATTTTGCAGCTTTTAAGTAGGTACCTTACTCCACAAAAGAGAGATATCGGGGGGCATGATGTACTAGAGGAATCAATGTAGATGATGATTGCATACTCCGCAGATGGATTGATTCTTGTCGCTCGCGCTGGAGAAGAGAGATGCAGCCAGCGCCAAATGTGACAATGCTTCAACTCCCGAGCCTTTTTTTAATTCAATATTCACAGGAAAGTGCAAAGGAATTTGCTAACCAAAACCTGACCACCTGAGCCTGAGCACCACCTCGCAGCCCTAGAACTTTTCAGTCGAAGATGCCAAGAACTAGTCGGGCCTTTCCCGCATCCCCTAGCATTACACTATGAGAAGACCGCGAGGCCCCCTCCCTATCCTCCGCGTAGCGCAAACCATTAACAGTCTCCGGCATGCCGCAAAGACGAGATCGCAGAGCAAAGCAGAACAGACTGAATCTCTATTCCTGTCGAGCGAAGGAGCGCGGCCAGAAATGGCAAGCAGGAGAAGAACCAGCGCTCGAGAGCAGCTGCCGCAAGGAAATACATGTGCATGCTCGACGATCATTCCGTCTAGGCGAACATAACGAATTGCGCTAGGCTCCGTAGGGCTCTAATTATGGGGCTCTCGGGCCCTAAGGCGGTCAGAGTTATCGGATCTCGCACAGTGATCCGGCCCGGCCTGCCCTGCCCTGCCCTGCCCTGCCCTGCGGCCGGGCGATGGGGATGGGAGCCGCCCAGCCCAGCCCAGCCCAGCCCTGGACCTGGACCTCGGCCTCGACAGCCAAAGTCGCCTCGGAGATGTGCGGCGGCAGGCATGTGGGAGCCGAGCTGGCAGCTGCGCCGGATTTCCGCGCAGCTTAACGTCGCGCGAGAGAAGGTCTGCAGCCTCGTTCCGCGCGAGGCTTCGGAAGCGAGGCGGGCCCCACATCCACCCAACAACGATGTCCGCAACGACATCGGACTGGGGCGCGCTGGCCGTCGTGACGTCAGCGTGATGTCATGTCATCTCATGTGACCTTGCGCACTTGCATTTCATGCGCTGGCCTGGAATTTCAGCGTCTGTCCATGAGTTCGAATTCGCGTCCATCATGTCGCTCGCTTTTTCAGGCTCAGTCCCTCGGTCCCTCAGTTCCTCAGGTCCTCGGCCCCATGCCCGCCGCGTCTTGTTTCCTCGACTCTGGTACGACGCGTGAAATGACATGTTCCTGCATTCTGCTCCCAAGTCTGAAATTTCATGCCCCGGTATGCACCCTCGCATATCCTCTTCCACATGAATCGGCACGCAGGACGCTCGGGGAGTACAAATCGTTCGGGCGTGGCCCGCATTCACGGTGAATGTTATGGCCTGTGTATCTTCGCAGCGGATCGTCACATCCAACATACTAGAACGGGGTGCGCTTCTGGTTCCTTGAGAATCAAATTCATTTCGTGTTCGAATACGAAGTTTCTCGATATGATTGAAGTCGGATTCCGAAGGATCTCCTCTAAATTCCGCGATGGGGCACGATACAGTTGGGTGATACATCTATGGAAAACATTATCGATAGATATTTTATCGGTTTCTGCTTCTGAAATAGTGACAATAATATGGACATAAATGGGTCGAAGTATATCTTCTGACATGTTGAGATCTTATATTTGGGAGAGCCATCATTTGCTTTCTTTTGTGCTTGCCGTAGCTCATGCTTCGTTCTTTGGTGTGAACCGTGTTGTGAAGGCTGAAGTATGTAGAGCCAAGGTGCACATTGCACCGCTATATGTTCTACATGGTTAAAATTGGACCTCATAACCCTCTAGCTTCAGTTGTGTGCCAATACCCTAATACCAATCATGTCGAGTGTTTTTCTCGGTGGTGGTGATTACGGTTCAGGAGGAAACTTAAGCGCAAGGCCATGGGATGTTCAGAGCGGTTTGTCACAGCCAAACTGGAACAAAACAAGAATGTGTCTTTCGAAGGAGGCACACAAATGCATATTATGTTCTTCTCTAGCTAATGTAAACCTCTGGTTCAATGCTTAGGCACCGCTTTGTTATCTCCTCTGTCTTTACATAGTCGTTGCATTCCTCTACTTTGACATGAAGAGGAAAGCAACAACTTCGTGTATGCGCCAGTCCACATTAGTTTTCTATTCTGGCTATGTATTCTCGAATCTTGACTTGAAAACTGAAATGATTGGTGTAGCTCTGGTCTAATATCCTTGTGTGTTTTCTCCATGCCTTACATACTTTAGAGACCTGGAGTAAACCCTTCGTGGTGTCTACAAAGAAGATGGTGTCAACTTGTAATTCTCCTTCTCAAACATCTGTCGGAGATCATTAAGAAGGGAGGCCAGAAACCGCCACAAGTGCTCATTGGAACCGTTGCCGAGACTTAAAGTAGTGGTGTGCCAGAATTGCATCTTCAAAATCGAAAGGAGAAACGATTGTCAAGGCTCGAGACATGATGGGTCATCGAGGATGTCTCTTAGACCCGAGATGCGTGAAAGGAATGATCATGATACTCGCTCGTTTGTCACTCATTCACAGAGGCCAGGGTCAAACAGGGACATAAATGTTTTAATCATGAAGAAAATGGGGAGAAGATGCTGAAGTGATGTCAAGTTATAGAGATGATGTCACATCAAGGTGAAAAGTGAAATTATTGGGGAAAATCATTCTCAAAGTTCACAAAAATGCAGGACAGATGGAAATTGGACCGATCCGTTTGCCAGTCCAACAAGCATCAAATATTCCAGGATTTTGCTCAAGTTCTCGATGGGTGGATGTATGACCTGTGAAGATACTGCAAATGTAAGTAGCGTAATAATTATAAACAACATATCCAAATTCGAATCAGAGCATATTACGATACCTCCATCTTTGGACAAAAGTGACACGACACACATTCTTCTCTCAAGAGGAGCAAAGGAATGTATGTCATCTGTGGAAGATACAGAACAGGGGACGGATCCTTTTCACCATTAGGACCTTTGCTTTATGTCAAGTCCACTTTCGACACAAGTAGATCAATCTGTTCTCATGAATTTCCATTTCATTCCTCTTCATCTCCTTAAATTTCTTCGTCCGGACAAAAGAAAATTCTCTGCCGACGAATTTCTTTTCGCTTCCAGAAAAACGCGCGGAATGAATAAAATAAACAGGTGACAAGTAATAAGGAATGAATAAATAAATAGGGAGCTAACTGACCTTGAAAATAAATCACTTGTCAAATGTGGATGACGTCTGCCACATTTTAACGAAAATGTGGAGGCCACATGGGGAAAAAAAAACGAGTGAATTGAGGAATTTGCTACACGAGTATGTCATATATTGGAATTTCTCGTACTCACAACCAACATGAATACGACTACAGTTTGCTGTTCTCCTTGAATATATACATCACCTATTATCAGTGCAAAAGCTATGAATTCGGAAGTCCACGAAAGGTGTGCATGGGATGAGGAAGATGATGGCTTGTGATTACGACATTTTTGACAATATTCGAAATCTCGGACTGCAAGCTATTTTCGCTTTTCAACGTCTTCTTTTTTTTGCTAATCAACGGAACACAAAGAGCTAAGACCTTCATTTATTGCATGCGAAAGAAGCAAGGTAAAAGCAAACAATATTGGATACTACAAACTTGATTTAGCTTGTGTGACGAAATATCACACTAGCTGATTTAATAACCCCGTAGCGGATGGCCATATAAATTGGGCATTCTCCATTTCCACTTCTTAATGAAGCATTGTGATTCTACAAGATCTATTCAGGGTGTCTATCAAGAATGTAGCTATCATCCTCCTTAGTGACATGTAGATTATACTTCTTTCAGTTCCTTGTACATATATTGTCAGGCTTCCCGATCCTGAACCATTTGCACAGACCCCGGCACTTTCGTATCCTTGACAGGTGCATCTTTACTTTTTTGGGTTTCCTCCCAAATTTGTTGTTTTTTCTAGTTTACTTTGAACAAACTATAAAGCCGATATCTTTTCTCAATCCCTATGAAAATTCTCCCGTCATTTGTTCCTTCATATACACTGAGCTCTTTCAACAGAAAATATATAGTTGTCTTTATCTGTGGAATTGACCTTTGGTGAGTGGTCAGTAGTCACATCAAGCTAACAATCTATGGTCATGGTAAACTATATCTCTAATGACTATGACTAATAACCTTTGTTTTTTTTGTTATAATCAACTTTAGCTTCCTTTTTAGCTCAAAGTTAACATATCAAAGAAACAAATAAGTCTTGTGAGATGATTATCATTGATTCTTCTTACTCTATTCATGAATGAGTTTTAAATTTAATCAGAATATTTTAGAAAGTAATTTTTCCTGAAAAAGAGGTACATCTCTAGCAAGACACGTCAAACACTTCATATTTTATTCTATTTTGATCTCAATCTAAAAAAATCGAAACATGAAAAAATTGATCCATATGAAACCTCTTGTTTTATAAAGAATAAGTTTATATTTTTCACGTAACTTAAAGTAATATGAAACACCATTTTAATCGAATTAATTCATCTTTCTCACACACATCTTGCAATATTCATGTGGCTAATTTTTCTTAATATGAAGTAAGCTTCTGTGCTCACGAAGAGATTATATTGCTTACAACATCTCTAATGTTGCTATATTGAGTTGTGATCTACATATCTTGACTTATTACTTCAAATAGTCAATAACAATTACTTCCTTGATAAATTACATGTAGTTATCTTGAATGTTGATGTAAAAATCACAAAAATCAACACTTTGCTTTTGTCTTAATCACAAATAGATCTAAAGTTTCATGTCATGAGCTGAAATTGTAATCTCCTAAAAGTCTAAAAAATTTGAACATTTCTTCCAAATATTGAGAAGAAATAATTTTACAATGTGCTTAGATGATCAAGTTCTAAATATTTTTGACAAATTAAGCTGTTGTGCAAAAAATGATGACAAATAAAAATAATAATCATCATGAATAAAAATTCAAAAAAAATAAATGTTATCACATATGTTTAATAATTTTGATATATCTGATATTTATTGAGGTTAAATTTGATTAAGGAGTAACATTAGGCTCTAGCTAAAAATAGCTAGTAGAGTCTCAAGTGCTGGGCTATTTATACCCCAGGTTTTGTGTAATTTTGCAACACTTTTTAGTAGAACTCTCACGCATGCAGTTACCCATGGATGTAGCACTTCTCCTCAGGGTGAATCACATTACTTTGTGACTTAATTTTTTGTGTTTTATGTTTTCTTTATTAATTCTAACAAATTTTTGTTCTTCTATTATTCAGTAAATGATGAAAATTTTCATTTTTCGTTTCACTAGTTTGATTGAATCTTAAAACCTTTAATTTTTTTTTAAAATACATTTTTTAGTTAAAAATGGCTAAATTTTTATTTTTACTATGTAATATGTGATAATGCTCTCAACCTTCAACTCAAAAGTTCAAAGCATAAACATATGCTTTGAACTGATTATGAGGCACAAATAAATAATTTTACCTCAAAATATACTGAATTTCATTTTTCATGAAATAAATTTATTTAAATTTTGCTTCATTATTACTGTAATTTGCACATCAACTTGCTCTAAAAATGTCTAAAACTTGTCTTTAAAGTAAATTACATACTAAATAAATGTATATAGCTAGCTTCATTTCATTATTTGTAAGAACATGAATCTTTTTTCGGAGATTTGATGAATTGTTTTACAAATAAAATGTTTACAATTTTATAAAATCAACAAGTTCTTATTTTATTATTATTATTATTATCAAAATACCATATGCAATATTTAATATTTCAAAATATAAACTGAAGTTCAACTTCGTTCATCGTAACAGACATGTATTATATGTATACTTTCTGTGTAACCATGTAAATCCTTTTTGAAAATATTTTTGTTATTGTATAATATTCATCGTAATTTTGCAAATTTAATACTTTATAAAATTTTCGAGCTTTCATTTTAAAACTGACCCGTTTGACTTGAACATTTACTTTAAACATAAACTTGACCAATGAAATTATTTTGTGTTTTTAATTATTGTTGTAAAAAATGATCAATATTGTTGAGGATAGCTCTAGTTAAAGAGTAACCTTAGGTACTAGCTAAATATAGCTAGGAAGGTAGCCTAGACTACGATTAAATACCACGGCTTCTGCTTGTACATTCAGTACTTCTTTACAGACCTGGAGTAATACTTTACAAATGATATTTCTTGGTGGACATAACCATCTGGAGAATGAACCACCTTATACGCGGGTGTTTCTTGTTCATGACTTGGCTTGAATGTTTCATTGAGTTTCTCGATTTTACGTTTACAGATATCTCATTTTTATCTTTGGTGTTCTGTAGCTTAATACATTAATTTATTCAATTTTGATTTAATTTCAAAAAAAATCTTCTAAATTTGTAAAAAATTTCATAAAAATACAAATTTTCTTGTTATGAAGTATTCAGATCATTGATAATTACAAGTATACTTTTGACGATATATAGGATTCATTTAGGATAGCTCTTCAGCATTTTCTAAATAAATCTGATAATGACAGTTGGTATCCAACTTACACTAATCTTCATTCAAAAACTGACATAGATTTAACTCTAATTTAACGTGTAATAATAATATATGAAGTTACTTGATTCATTTTGACGTTTTATACTCAATTCATTTTTCTGTGCCTCTATGGAGTAATCCAATATGCGGTTCCGCGGTGTGTTTGTTAGGCCAACCAGCGGATCATTCCAGAGGAAAAAATATGAATGATTATTTGACTTTTAGATATTTTATATAAGAAAATTTTGGAATTTCAAATAAATTACAAATTTCAATAAAAATTTCAAATTAATAATATATTTTTATTTATCAAAATTTTATACAAAAATCAAATTTTTCTGTTGTCATGATATTTAATTTTAGATTTCCAAAAATTAATTAATTTTAACAAAACCATGGATAATTATGATTTATCATCAGATTGAAAAATGAAGTTTTGCAATATATATAATAATGTTTTTTTAAATATGAAAACATAAAATGATAGAAAAGGGAAAATGAAACATCATTAAATTTGTATATTAGAAAATTCGATTTGAATAACAAAAAATTCATTAAGAAGAAGATTTCATCAAATTTACACAAAAAAACCACATACTGATCATATGTCATGTACTTGAATACACTTTGTATATATTAGAAAGATAATTTTTTTTTCAAATGTGACCAATTGATTCAAAATTCTTCAATGATGATCATTTGTTAACTTTCTCATAGAAAGTTAATAACTTTTTTGCATGAGCTAAATTTCTTTTGTGTATTTATTTTTGCTCAATCATATGTCATATACTTATGGATCAACTACTCAATGAAATATATTAAAATGATCATAACATTATCTGCAAGGTAATCAAACGTGATAAATAAACTATGAAAAATTGATGAATTGACAAAAAATGTGAAAATATGTATTTTTTTGGAAAAAAATGTGTACATGAAAATCATTACTTGCAATTGAAATGTTATTATAGAGTAGAAAATTTGGACAATATTACTTGTGATATATTAATCCGAAATTCTACATAGAGGTAGTACATCACTTTCACAATCCTACATTGGATGTGATTTTCAAATGAACAATTCTAGAATTAGCGGTAATGAAATTCAAGCCGGAATGTTCAAGAAATGTTTCCGACAAATTTCACAGACTGAGAGTTATAGATCAGTG